TTTTTTTTTTTTTTTTTTTTAAAGGCACAGATCTGTTTCCCCTAGGCTGGAGAACACTCCTTGTCCACACACAACTCGCAGGTAAGAACAAATTAAATTGAAGAAAAAAACAAAAGAAAACTAATGGCAGATAGGCAGTTTCTTTGCTCCTACAGCGATTCAATAGCACTTACATGGTTCAGGGTATCTTCCCCTTTCATGATCAGGCCCAAAATCAATCAGTTCCCACCCGCTATATTATATAATCATAATTCAAAAGCAAGAGAAAAAAAGGAAAAAACCCCAAAACAACCTTCTGTCAGTCTGAGAGGCTTGCAGCTGCTCCAACTTTTCCTGGTTCTCTGGTCTCCCCGTTTAAAGGACATAGCAGAGTGCAGCTCCCGTAGTTAGAGCTCCTTCGAGTTCCAAGACTGGAATCTGGTCTTCTCCCCATCCCTGGGATTTGCACCGCTGGAGTTCCCCATGTATCTTCTCCTCCTTGCAGTGCAGTTCCTCCACCAGAAGTAGGGCATCGGGTACAGGGAATGCCAATCTGGAAGGACCAGTGACGATGGCATTCCAGCAGCTGTGGCGTTCCCCGCATAAGCAATGCTTCCTCCTGGTCTGGTAAGTCTTCCCAGTTTTCCTTCCTTTTCTGTGAAGAGGTGGAGGAAGCCTCTTCACAGTTGTACATTTTTTTTTATTTCCAGTCTTCCTTTGAATCACGGGGACACTGGTTTAGCTAAGGCTGTGGGGGTTTGATGGGGACATGCTGAAGCTCTTGCAGGTACTTTGAAAACTCAGAGGTTTCTGGTCAGAAATTCTTGCTCTTCTGCTAGTTATACCAATTAACAAATTTGGTGTCACAAAGGATTTCACCCCCTAGGTCAGATTGGCAAGGATTATGATCCTCAGATCCTCCCTGGTCACTGCAGTGGCAAGGTACTGGCCATGTTCTTGCCTCCCCTGATTTTAGCTATGGCACATAGCATGTTCTTGGTGTTTCTGGTTTTGTGCCTTGTGGTTGAATGTGATCACAGGTTTGAAGTGGCAGTTTTGGAGACTCCTTGGGTAAATGGTTGCCTGTGAATGCAGGGAACTGGACTCAGTGGCCCAAGAGGCCCCTTCCAGACCTGTGTTTTGATTTCATAAGTGAAATCAGTTTCTAGCTTCCTTTAGTTACACTTATTGGTTTCCTAGGAGACTGCAGACAGCTACACTGTTTTTATGTATAGCAGCTCCAATTATCCTGCAGCTATAGAATCCTGATTGTTATTTGCTGTTGAAGAGAACACAATAAATAGCAGAGATAGTATCTTTAGACTTGTACATTCCCCAAAGAAATCCTGTTTAGCCCTCAAAACCAGTACTTTTTTCCCCCCAAGCACTCTCTTAACACAAACTGCCAAATCCATGTATACGTCACAATCTAAACCAGAGATTTATTTTTCCTACATCGGTATTTTATTGTATTTTGATTTTAAAGTATCAGAATAAGGCAAACTAAAGGAAATGCATAATAAAACCAACATTCTTTAAAAATAAAGCTTCATGCTAACATAATTTTAACTATTTTCTGGAATGCATGTCTTAAAATAAAAGCTCTCACTCTAATTTGGGCTAGTTCTGATGCTTAGCTTAAACTTGTTCTGACAGAAGACTGGTTTACTATTTTAAAAGGAAATTGTAAAGCTTTTAAATCAGTGTGTGTGTCAAGTTACATCTTCTCAGCCTGCTGGCCTTTGGATTTTCAGAGATATATTAGAATTTAAATTTATTTTAAAACAAATACATTCTGTTTGAATTGGAAAAATCTACTTACTTTTGCCAAATATAGTATTGTATCTATCATGTCTTGTTGCTTGAGAGCTGACTTAAATTGTTTTTCAGCTTCGCGATATAATCCTAACCTAAGAAATGCATAGAAAGTATTTTTTGTTCAAAATTAATAAAATAAATTATTAAGTGATAAAGTGCTATAGATTAACATCATACATGGGGTTTAATTAAAATGCCAAAGCTCACATTCTGACTTGGTTTTCTCTAAAAATTCACATTATTCTCACATACATCCACTTTAAAAATGTAAAGGATGCCAAATCAAGTGTTCAAATGTTACGAGGTGGGTAACTAAGGGTAACTGTGAAAGCTTAATTCAATCCCCATGCCTGGGTGCGCCTGTTTTATAGGCAAATTATATGACCTCATACTGTATTTTTCCACAGGGCTCCTGCCTCATCCAGGGCAGAACGGACTGTTACTCACTTAACAAGCAGTTTATTTAATATCTTGTTTTCTGTTCATTGTTCAGAGTATGGTCCCAAGCTCTATTTACTGTAAACTGTTCAAACCCTGCTCTTAATACAGAATTACTAATTTTCTTATGGGCTTTTTCTGTGGTGTGTATCATTCTAGTCTAGAGTTCTTTACAAACATTAATTTATTTTTCTCACCAGCGTGGTAAAATATAGGGGCATTATCTTCTCTGCAGATGGAGGAACTGACAAATTTTGTTTGTCTAATTCGAAAAACCCAGGACTTGACATTTAATTATATAGCACTTAATTTGCTCAATGTACATTTCCTGTTTAACATTAGTTGCAGCTGAGTTTTCAGCACTTTCCCAAATACTAGAGTCTCAGATTAGGTACCCAGGAACACAGGGTTAGCAATCAGCTCTGAAAAGTTTGTTGTAGCACATGGGAGTTCTGTAGTACAGGGAAGGCTAGAATCCAGTTGTGCAGGGCAGAATTCACCTAAAAGGAGACCATTATTTATCTCCTGCAATCTTCTGGCTTATTTATTTTTCACATTCCAGTCATTTCAACAAATAAACCAGGGATCTTAGACACAAGTCTTCTTCACTACATGGATCTAACTCATCCCAGAGCAAGTCTATCTTTTGTGCTAAATGAGACAAGTCTTGAGGCAAAAAACAGTATGCAACCATGTAATACCATGTTATAGAATACATATAATAACATATAATCGCCAAATTCAAGAGATACAGTCAAGCGTTAGACTTTACAATCTTAACATAATTTGTGTGTGGGTATGGGTGTTGTAGGGGGGGTTTCAGAGGGAGGGAGAAGAGGAGGAATCTGTTTAGTTTTAGTTTTTATTAAAAAGCAGACCGAAGAAGGATGTCTTGCATTTGAAAGCTTGTCTAACTTTATCTGAGCTATACAGTTGGTCCAACAAAAGATATCACTCTAAAAAATCCTTGCCTCTAACTGAAAAAACACACGAATTGTCATGTCATCATGTTGACAACCAGATGGCTCATCATCATTTAGATCAGGGGTGGGCAAAATGCGGCCCAAGGGCTGGATGCAGCCCACCAGGCCATTCTATCCGACCTGTGGGGCCCCTAAAAAATTTAGAAAATTAATATTAATCTGCCCTGGGCTGCCTGTTATGCAGCCCTTGATGGCTTGCCAACACTCAGTAAGTGGCCCTCTCCCCAAAATAATTGCCCACCCCTGATTTAGATCCTTAAGCCCATTGCTCAGACCACTGCCACTTGAATTGCATGAATAACAGACAGCAGTAGTAGGTTGTTATCCTCTGTGTGGACCTACAGTGTACACAGATGGGGCAATCTGCTGGTATGTTTCACAGATGCCAGCTGACTGCAGAGGAACAGCGAGGCTTGGGAACTTCTTATTCCATTCCAGGGGACACTTGTGATCACTGACTTCCCTAGGTTCCCCATCTTCTCCTTTCCCTCCAACCTGTCCCAAGTTATATCTCTATCTCTGTTTCCCCTTGTTGGCTCCTTATCCCAATCCTATTCTCTCATTTCAGTCTCTGGTGTCCTCACTTAACCTGTCCCAGTTCCCCTACTCCTAGCCCCTCCTCTGATCTTTTTCTCTTTCCCCCATGCCCATGTCACCTGGTCTTCCCTTCCAAGCTTCTTATTCAATCAGTGTCTTTCCCCTGACCAACTTGGCTGCTTGTTCCAATTTATTTGCCTTGCCAGTTCCAATTCTCTTCCAGCTGTTGCCCTTAGGCTCCCTGCTTGGTCTCAGTTTTCACTGCTCCCTCTCTCCTTGCTTAGCTAAGGTGCAATGTACCCAGTGCCAGTTCCACATTTCCACCTACCATACTTCAGTTACAAGCTTGCTCTTCATCCCCTCATGCCTTACTCCAAACTACCCCTCTACTCCAGGTCTGGCTCTTATCCCTTCAGCATTTGAATCTAGCAGTTTCTTCTTCCCTGCTGCCAGCAGTGAAACAATCAAAAGAACTACAGAGACAGTATCTCTGCTCTCGGTTCCAGTCCCCTTACCTAAAAGAGCTCAAAGCATCCTGGAGCTGAACTGTAAGGAAAATCCTACTTGGGCTCCTGCAATGTTGTTAGAATCCTGGACACAAATCACACTCCCATCAAATGTCAAGTCAAGTCCCAGCCCCAAAGCATCCTGAAGCCTCTCAAAGAGAAGCATTCAAGAATGTTTTCCCCTTAAGGGTAAACTTGTTTTCATCTTGTTCTCAGAAATTGCTGAATAGTTTGTTTTGTTTGTTGTTGGGGGTTTTTTTGTTGTTGTTGTTTTTTTGGGGGGGGGGGCTCAGATTGGGTGGTGAGACAAGGACATAACAGAATTGTTTGCTTTTTAA